CTGTGTTGAGACAAGATGAAAAGATGACCTAACACTTTTTATGCTTTGTGAACACACAGTGCTGCATGGCTGTAGTATAGCTTGCACAAGTGTTACTAATTCATCCGGCTGTGTTGAACATGTTAGTTCTGTTGTTTGTTTTTTGCCTGAAGAAAATAAGCACTTTTTACCACAATCGCTCTGCCCTCACATGCACGGTGTCTGGCAGACATGTGTTCAGCTACAGTTGTGAATTCCTCCGGTCTGAGAGGTCACGTTGCCAGAAAGCGAGGCACAGGATGTGGCAACGCGTCTCCTCTGCTACCTCCACCTGAGAGCTGCAGCTTTCATCCTTCTCTTCCTGTGCCGCTGCTCTGCAACAGCACACACAGTGTGAGATTGAAGAAAACAAATCAGTTGCTACAACCAGAGGGAAAAAAAAAAAATCTGTTTCAAAAATTAAAAAAAGTCTATTTCATATTTGTGGGCAAAAGACAGATGTGCAGTTCACACTCAATATTTCCACTACAATCAGCTGGTTTGCAAACACAAGTCCTCCCATCGCCCAACTCCTGTCTTTCCCATGCATTTATCCTGACACGTCATGTCACTTTTTTCCCCCATTGGGTTTTCTGGTCAGGAGAAATGAACCAAAACCAGCTGCTCACATTTGATTAACACCCGGGCTGGCTGACCTCGCTCCAATTGCTGATTTTTGCACCCGTGGTGTAAAACGTGGCTGTTGTTTTTAGCTGATTTGTAACACAGCATGTGTGTTAGCCCGGAGGGAGGCGTTTGACAAATGAGGCTCGAAGACAAATGAGATCGAGAGAAAAACAAAATCGCTCAATTTGTCATGATCTGCTCTGAGGTTATTTGTTTTTGTTTTGTCAATTTTAAAATACTCATCCTTCTTCCATTTCATCCCACTTTGCTTCCTGCCCCTGTGTGTTTCCCCACCTGTGTGATTGTCCTGATGAGACTCACCTGTTGCTCATCAGACCCTGCTGTCACCTGTCCCTCGTTATCACTCTCCTTTCCTTGGGTATTTAGTCTTTGGTCAGTTTGCATTGTTGCTGATTGGCTACCTTCTTGTCATCTGGTTTCTCATTCCTTCAGCTTCTTTTTTTTAAGTTTACCCACAGTTGAGTTACTCAAGATGAAGGTAGGATTGAAAAAAAAGACTAACAGCACCTGTTTGATCTTATCTTTATTCAAACACTATAAATAACCATTGACTAAACATCATTGGGGGGGGCTGTTCTATCAGAAGCTCTGACTCTAAAGCCAACTTCACATGAAAGAATACTGTGATAGCTGAAATCCAGATGGAGGATTCCCAACAAGGCCACACATCGCTTCCCCCCTCGACCTGTTTGCCAAGTGTTGTCTTTAGATTACAAACAAGGCAACGAGATCTCCAGCCTATTCTGATGTCTTATTTTTATCCCTCCTTCAGTGTTTCTTTTCCCTCTGTTGCCAAAAGGATTAGGAACTTATCTTTAAATAACGCTCGAGCGTCAGCCCTGCACGTCATCCTGCTCTCCCGAAGTGAATGACTTCCAGCCCCGGCGTTTGGGAGCCCACTGATCCCCCTCCGTCAGGCCACAGAGGAGATGTTTGTCCCTTTTTTTTGTCTCAACCATAGCAGTCGATGTGGCAGAAACACCAGCAGCAGTATAGAGGCAAGAGAAAGGGTTAAGCATTCAAATCGACCGGAGCTATTGGGCTGTTTAGTTTTATGAGGTGCCAGACCTTTGGCGCTCCATTCAGACTGCTTTACACTGAGGTCACCGCAAACAGATTAAAGATCGCACCAGTGTGTGACCTATAGGCCCGCCACCGTTACGCCACTGCGCGAATGACTTATGGAGTTAATGAAAGCGTGACATCATGTATACATCGGCTGACTGTTAGCCTTCCCTAACCCTGTAAGTGGTGACATGCACGCTATCTGCGCAAGCAAATTTAGGGTCTGCCAGCACAGAGACATGGAGCTTTTTTGTTTTTTTTTGCCAGAGCATCAGTTGCTTGTTAATTACAAATTGCCCAACCGAAGAAGGCAGGGAACACTTATCGACTGAGGTGAGATTACCAAGTAGCCCTCTTGAGTCTGAACCCGTTCATTACATGGAATCCTCTTTCTGCGTAAACAATTGTTTACAACTAAGAACCGTAAACAGAGAATTTAGACGGTTTGCAATCACGCGCTCTAAGGGTTCAGCATTTTTCAATAGAGCAGATGTATAGTCTTGTTAACAAGGCAAATTTCCTAAGAAAGGTTGATGGCTTTTTTTTTTCATTCTCACGAAATGTTGCTGCTGTACGCTACCGTCAGCAGGTGATCTCAAAACGAGGGAAACCTGGGAGAGGAGGCAACCAAAGGGACATTTCACCAGTGAGAGCTGTTTCACCTCAAAACATCGCCTAACTTAACAAGGACACACGGCTCATCTTGTCAGGCGTTCGCTGGTGCCGGATGATGGCATGCCTTCTCAATCATACCTCCTCCATGCTCTAAGTGAGGGCTGGAAACAGGTCATTGTGCTCCTTCAAGCAGAAAGGAACAGTCTGGGATGTTATCAGAGTATGAGATCTTAACATAACTGCACGGGCCTCCAAGCGGACTCATAAAGGACCGGCAGCTCATTTAACAGCACAGTGTCGCAAAAAGTCAAGGGAAAAAGAAGACTTGCATAATGAGACCCCCACCCCCTTTCTCTCTCTCTCTTTTTACACCCCCAATGGCGACAAGAACGAGAGGAGAGAAAGGGCATCTTTGAAAATGTGGACAAAAGACTGTCTGTCTCTCCCACACGTTTACCTAAGGGAGTCGTAAGAGAGCTTAATAGTGTACATTCACCCCGGTCTCTTCTTTATCACCGAGAGCTTATGAACGCTGCGTCCTCTGGCCGAGTCATGACAAGTCCTATTTGTTCCAGTGGCTCGGAGTGTTTGCGTTCCCCAGGTCACGGCTGAACTTCTCATATTTATGTTAGCCTAACTGCCGGCTGGCAGGCTAATTCGCTGGTATGTGTTTTCATTAGGTCCCTGGGGCCGGGTAGAGCTCCCTCGCTAACGTGGCTCCTGTGAACTCTGACCCCGTGCTTCAATGGGAAGGCTGGCAGAGAAAGAGGGGTCAAGGCCTCGAAGTGGGCTCGCTTAGACTTAAGGTAACAATTTGAGGAGGCGAAACAGGTTATGTAACCTTGTCGCTGGACGCTAATGACCCGGTATAGGGCCTGAGGAATGCCCCCTCTCAATAGGTCTCTTTTACATCAGTCGCTGGTTGTGGCAACAAAATTAGCTTTGGTATGGTAAGATTGGACAAATCCTGCTCTGTGTGCTAGATAACAGCTATGTAGGGCATGTGACAAACTACTAGCAATGTGATCAGCATGAGCCAGAAAAGCAGTACAGAGGGACCTGACATCCCTTCTTGTTCTTCACTCCTTCCCTTCCCTCAAGGCAGCACAAACACTCATGTCCTCGTTTAGAACCATGAAGAATACAGGCTGGTATGCGTCTCACCCTTCTTCAGGAAAATCATGTGGCTATGTGACACGGTGCTGAAACAATAAGTCAACCCTCTATAAAGCTTTGAAAACAACTGATCTTCAGGTTTCAGGCAGTTGGTCAGACAAACCAAGCAATTGGAAGTCATCTCATTGCGTTTAATCTAAATCATAATCAGCAATGAAAACAGTTGAGAGTTGTAGCTCTAGATGGCAATGACTGATGTCCAGCGTGAGTCTTTGCCTACTGCCACGGGGTACACATATGGTCTCCTTTACGCCAGTCGCAAACTGAGGCAGAAACCCACAGCTTCCACCAGCAGTTCCTTTACCATCTCTGTGAGTGTGTGTGTGTGTGTGTGTGTGTGTGTGTGTGTGTGGGGCGCTCTGTTTGCTCAGGGTCAGCCCGGGCCTCCTCTTTCTAACAGCTTCACAGTTACAGCATCAGCAAGCCTCTGGAGCTTAGGTGACACATTTCTCATGGAGCCCAGGTCACCGCCAACTCCGCGGGCCATAAATACCAATCCCTATCCCTCACTGGTTTGTCTTTATGTTCTCTGCCCTGGCTCCAGAGTGACTTGTGATGAGGACTTTTCTATTTCGGATTCAAATGAAATATGTAAAAATAAAACGATAAGAAAAAAAAACGTGAGTCACCTGTGGTAATTCCCGTAATATCCCTTCCAAACCGTCCATGTGCCACGCATGCTGATGAGCTGTCTAATGAGATGTTTTGAATTCTTCTCTTCAGGTTCAATGGGCTGATAAACAACCCTCCTACAAGCTTTTGCAGAAAGCTCTCATACCCCAAGGGCAGTTTCCCACTCCTTCACACTGAGCGGGACCGAGTGTGAGAAAAAGCCTCACCTGAAGCGCAGCCAAGCCCAGATACAAACGGCACGAAAACACATGCCAACGATGACAAACACGCCTGAAATGTGCGTGTTTGTTTCTTTTAGGAGGACGTTTGGGTGGTCAGTGGGTACAACATGGGAGTAGATGTAAAGACAGAAAAGGGATTAATCAAGTAGTCAATGAGTTAAATTGCCATTTAAGTGTCTTATTAATAAGACCTTGCCATAAAGTTTGAAATATTTGCCTGCGTTATTAAGTAAAATAACATCATGGCTCACAATTCTAAAGTGACACATCATAACTATTATACTGCTGTAAATTATAAGGGATGAAGTAGTTTGACTTCCTTCACGTTGACATTCTTATGATTAATGTGTGTGTGTTTAATAATTACCATCGTTGTATTACTTACGGTCAACATGAGAACTATTCAACTGAAACTAATGATTTAACATAAACAAAGTCTTTGTTTATGTTTGTGTAACTGCACCGATTCGCTCCTGTCAAGTGAACGCACCACTTGCCAGCTGACTTGCACCGCCTCTTCAGCGCGTTCATTGGCTTTCCACTGCGGAGCGTCAGCACAGGGGGGGGGGGGGGCCCGGCGGGGGGTTTATTGTTAGGAATGTGTAGTAGCACTCAAACTAATTTACCGCACCGACCGTGCCGCAGTCCCCGCAGAGCATCATCCTCTTGTTTTTCGGTGGGACGCGCGTATACTGGATTATCTCCCGGTGGTTTGACACCGCTGCTATCGGCTCTATAAGCGACTTTATTTTATCATGCAACTGTTTGCTTGAGAAAACCGTCTTTGTTGTGTGTTATATTTGGTTGGAGGAAAAAAAAAAAAAGACCGATTTCAATTCAAGAGCGACTTCAATGCCAGACTCAGCGAAGATGATCAAGAACGGAATGGTGACAAAGATCCACACGAGGATAAGAGCGGACCCGTTCACGGCCAATTACGAGCTGGTGGGCAGAGAACTGGGCAGGTGAGCGTTGTTTGTTGTTCCCAGCGGTCATTGACCAAACACTGATCCGCGTGCTGACTTTGCTCGTGCTGCTGCGCCTGCTGGAAATGTGCTACACTATCTTGATGCGCTTATGTAAAGCTGGTAATCATATTAGATTTGCTCTCGGGTTAATGGGAAGCGTGCTAATTGGACATTTCCAATCCAGCATTCCATCCCGGGTAAAAGCGCAGAAGGTGACGCGCTTTGGCACGCGTAATGCGTCCTGTGTCGACTTTTTTGTAAAGTTTTTGGACTTTGTGATGATTTAAATTGAAATAAAAAGGGAGCCCAAAGAGTGCTGTTAGATGAGGAGGATTTTGAACACACTGTTCGGACATGTCTGACATCCAAAAGGTGAAAGCAAGATATTCCACTTTTTGAAACTCCTCTCCTGCGCCATTGTTTCTGTCGCTGCTCACTTGTGTAGTGTAGTAGTTTCTAGTGTAAGTGGTGGTGGAAATGTAAACTTCCTCAAATGCCATGAGCTGAACTTCAGAATCAGTTTGGAGTCATATCACAGTAGCGGTCACAAGGGTAAAGTGGCAAGAAGTACAGTAAGTACACCAAGGTCCGTGAAGGAACGGTATCTGAAAACACACAAGACATGTTGTATGTCTTTTTAGAGTAAATCAGAACCTGTGTGTGGTATAGACCTGCTCTCCTGTGTCATACCTGCTTTCCCCAACATGAAATATACCATTTTCCTCCTGTCTCTCTTCAGCCAAATGCATGTTGTGGGTCACCCACTGATGTGTGGATCCCAGTAACAGAAGTGCACATTCCAGCCGTGTTCAAGCGGGGATTCCCCAATGTGCCAGAGACACTAAATGACTTTCCTCAAAAAGCTTTCTGAATTCTTGGGTTTGTGCCAATTCTGCATCTGTCTCCAAAACTCAATTTTCACTGTAAGCTTGCTGCGCTGCAGAGAGTGGTGGGACAGCCTAAATAAAGAGTCAGTTGGTAGTAGCCAGTTTTCCTTGTCCGACACCCTGGGACATCCTGGGACAGCAGCCAGGACCTATGGGGGGGGGGTTTGGCTTGAGGCTGCAGCCTCTAAACGCCCCCTCTTTCTCCCCTTCCCATGAGTCCGACGCAACAACATCCTGGGATCAGGTCTTATAATCGCATTAAGTGCAGGAATGTATGCCGGCAGATCAGTCTGTACATTAGGAGGGGTGTTGACCATATTAGAGCAGCTTTTAGGTGACGGAGTTGAATTCTTCCTTTTATCAATAGGACTCATTGGTCTGCATTTCTTAAACCTTCTCATCATTGAGCTTCGCATTGTGACTTGTGGTCTTCTGCAGAACTGTGCGCAGAATACGTTGTGGCCAATCTGTAAAGCAGAAAGAGGAAGTAATGCTTTGTGTCATTTCGTCTGTGAAACAGGAAAGCGAGAGTGGTGAGGGCTGTCGTTTCTCATCGCGCTTCAGACATGAGTCAGTGGCCCGCTGAGGGAGACAAAACGCAGACTCCACAGGAAACCAACTTCTCAATCGAATTATCACCAATCTCCAGTGGTGGCGAGGAGTTAATTTAATGTGTCGCAGTAAAGTTGATGATTGATGACAGACCGAATTTACAGAGCTGCAAATGAGCTGTGTGATCTCCTGTGGAGTCAGACCGGATGTTTGAGAAAGAGCTTTTCTACTGTAACACGGCTAACTGTGGGATTTAATGCAAAGAATCTCAATGTGTAGAATATAACATTAAAGCACTGTGACGTGATGTGTAACCGGGAGAGTCGGTGCATCTGCCTAGTGACATGGCAAGAGTGTGAACGCAGCCGGCTGGGAGATGGCCGCGTTCCGTAACCTCTGACCTGTCGTCAGCCTTTATAAAAAGGCCTCCTGTTGCTCCTTTTCACTCCATATGTAGTTCCCAGCCCACAGAGAGCTGCTCTGAACTTGGCTAATTAAGGATGAAAAGCATGAAAAGCCTCTGACGAGGTTTGCCTTTTCACTCGGAACAATGAGGCGTCACCATTCTGCGAGACGGTGGTGGTGGGGGGGGCGCAGGCAGAGAAGGAACAGGCCTTGCAGCAGCTCGGGGGCCGTAGCCAAAGCAGAACCAGGCTCTGGCCAGAACAGTTGCTGTTTTTGGTCAGCGGCGGCATAGTGGGCTTGGAGTAACGCTGTGTGGGAAAAGTGACCGGCACCATGCTGACCGGGCCACTTCATTTAGATTCAGTTCACAGTCAACTTTTCCTCAGCACCCCGGCAGCGTATTTGTATCGTGCAGCCCGTTGAAACATTGAGATGTTAGTTGGACACATAGACGCTGAGGTTACACGGTGTTCATGTTAGCCTGCTGCCGAGGCTCCAACCCGACTGTAGCAGCAGTGACCCCCTGCCTGGCCTGCCCAGCGGCGGTCTGGTTGGGTGGTCCTGGTCTCGGGGCTGCTTGTATCAGCCGACTGGTCAGCTTTTGTGCGATTGTCAAAGGAGAGGCAGGCTCTGGCCGAGGGTCCGGGCAGGAGGTGTCAACACGGTCCCATTTGTCCCTGCTGCTGTCAGCTGTGAAAGAAAGGGAAGTGGACAAGGCCTCATTATCGGCCCTGGGAGGGACGGCTGCTGATTGTGGTCGGCTTGACACGGCGAGGCAATTCTGCACACATCGGACATCCTGCCCACACCCACGGCTGACCCCTTTACACCTCAGATGAATCCATCAATGTATATGCAGAAAAACATTGGTAGTGTTGATGTTAAAGTGGATCCAGCAGCCGAGCTGTTTTGTCTCTTTGCTTTTGCTTGACCTTAGCCTTATCACGTCCCGGCCTGCTAGTCGGCAGCCTTATCTGCCTCCTGTCAGACCCTCCTGAAGGCTAGAAGAAGTTGAGGAGAAACTTGAAAATCTCTAATGAACGTCTAATGACTCATCCACAGCTGAGCATATCAGTGCTCCCTCGCACAAATCCAAATGATGCCATTGAACCTTCTTATCTGTGAACTGTTCTTTAACCTCGCCTATACAGTGTTGCACTCGTGGCCAACCGGCGGGCTTTTCCTCATGCCTTGCACTGTAATCTAGGTTTTGCCTCATGGCAGTTTAACTGTCATGAGTATGTCCAGTAATTTTAGCCTTTCATACGCTGCAGTTTCAGTGGCCTAAATTTATTCCAGCGGTCCCGTTGGCTACTTGGGGGGGGGGAAAGAGCAGAATCTCTAAACCAAATATATTTGAAAAAGCCAGTAATGTGGTTGTGATTATTCTGTCTCATTCTGCCTCTCGACTCACTCTCTCACTCTCTCCCCTCTTTTCTCCCAGGGGAAAGTTTGCGGTGGTAAAAAAGTGCATTGAGAAGGCGACGGGGAAGCAGTGCGCTGCAAAGTTCCTGCGAAAGCGAAGGAAGGGCGAGGACTGCCGCATGGACATCTTAAACGAGATCGCCGTGCTGGAGTCGGCCAAAGCGAACCCCTATGTGGTGGCGCTGCACGAGGTCTACGAAACCAACCACGAAATCATCCTCGTCCTGGAGTGGTAAGACACTGGACGTTACATAAACAACACAAAAGTTCACTCAAATGGCCTTGTAAGCCTTCCTCTGTGTTTGAGCCACGCCAGGTAAAATAGGGGATAGAATCATCAAAATCACTTGAATGATCACTCACTAAACTTTCCATGAGTGGATTTCTTCCCCATACAACATGCCTGAGCGAACAAACCTGAACAAACTGGCTTTTGGAAAACTCCCCAACACATTTACTCATTTCTACTTAACAGGCATCAACAAAACTTTACAATGCAACATCCTGTGTGTTGCATGACGAGAATGTCACCGCTTTGGTATTTTCATGTGAATTGTCAGCTTTTATCTCAATCTGTCTGCTCTGTGGAAAAAAAAAAAAACCCTCTCTCACTTTGAGTTATGTGCTGGTTGCTGAGGGCACAGCTGCAAGTCACTCAAGTCTTTCTCACCTCACACGCACATGTGTGAAACGCATAGCACTCGCACTATTGTGACACGACTTCAGCCTTAAATGGAAATTCTCTCTCTCTCTCTCTCTCTCTCTCTCTCTCTCTCTCTCT